TTGGCGATTCTTGCTGCAGCCACCTGTGCCACGGTGATGGTTGTGAAAAGGACCGCTGTCACAATCAAGGCCTTGATGTTTGGAGTGAGCCGCCGCTTCTTGCCTGGCGGTAGCTCCCCTGACATCACCGCCGTCAGCCTCTCCGTGAGGTGATATACGCCTTCGGGGCGGAAGGAGGCAGGATCAATGTCTGCGACGTCCAGCTCTTCTGACGGCTCGGACCGTGCATCTTCGCTTGTGTCCTTGATCTCGCGCTGCGACATGGCCGCCGAGTTGGATGCTAAGCCGATCCTGGAACTTGTGCCTAGTGGCCTCTTGGAACAAGTGGCCAAGGCCTACTTTCAAGTTAGCACAGCCACGCACCACCGGCGTGCATGGCCGCTTGTGATTCCCCAGCAGCTGCGTAGCAGGTCTGTGGAAAGGACCTGAGACACTAAGCCACTAAGCCTAAGGTTCCTTCGAAGCTTCGAAGGCTTCACTGTGGCCTCGCTTCGAGATGCTAGGTGCGCCTTAGGTGACGGTCACGGCGGTCTCAAAGGTCAGTTTTGTAACACCTGCCGAACTCAACAGAGGAGGCGATCGAATCAACGCCTGTCTCACACGAGATGCAAAAGGCAGGAGCTGGTCCTCACTGCCTCTTTGTAGGAAGTTCCTTCGAACACGTGGGTCATGGGAGGATCCCCTTCTCTGCTGAAGTCCTTAGCAACGTCAATCTCCATCCCACTTGTTTCGGAAACTTTCCTTAAAGCTGCTGCCGATCTTTACAATTTGTTTAATTCGGGCGAATCGTTCGCCCCGCAACAAGATTTACAAGTCAGCGTGAGCTGCAGAAGCCGATTCGGGCAGGTATCCTGTTTGAGTGAGACCTTTACAAGAGAGTGCCTACTCGTCAGTGCTCCGACTCCTGATCTTTCGTGCCCATTGCCGGACAAGGGCTCCCAAGTTCACAAGTCCAACGAGGGCTCCAGCGACAATGGAAGCGCCGATCACCATGCTGGTGTAGGCATCAAGGCAGGTGGAGTCAAACTTTCCGATCAGGATCCTGGGCCAGAAATGACAATGAGAGACTGACCTGGTCCGGACCACGTACCAAGAAACTTGCCGGAACCTATCTAAGAAATCCGAGTACGAGCCACACGCTGACCCTGGCTGCAGTGCGGGCATTGTGTGGAAGCCGAAAACGTTCGAAACGAGGTTGGGCGGTGGAAGTCTGTCTCTCTGGGTATAGGA